TTTTTTACACCTCCAGAGCCATTCTCAGCAGATTGGTCAATGGTTAGAGGCCAGACAAATTCAGCATTCTGGTTCTCCAGGTTGGGATTGGAGTGAGGGCGGCTCCTTATTCCTTTAAACAGACTCCTTGTAGCCTAACGCCGAATCTGCTGCCTTGCGATCAGGTTTTTTAACCAAAGTCTCTGGTTGAGAACCCTAATCGTTCTCCTGTCTAGACCTAGGCAACCTGACAGTCTCCTGCCCGCGCAATACTATGCATCTTTCGTCAAACAATTTCCTGATGTTCTGGCCACTGCAGAGGATAATCAACGGTGCACTATCTGCCGCATAATGCAGGGTGGATAGGGGTTTGGATGCTATTCAAGCTACTCAAGCCTTCCCATCTTTTTATTCCCCCTCTTACGCTTTTTCACCCTTATTGCCCCGTTCCAGCTTCACTCTTATCCCCCTGTTTTCAACCCCCAATTCTTGGCCCTATCTCCACCTTGCTTTGATGGCCTTCTATCTTCCAGTTTCCACTCACATATGGACGCGGAGCCCTCCCCTGTCGACAAGCCCATCTCCAAGCAAGCGGTCAAGCCCAGTTCATCGGCTACCATATGGAGCTCTCGACCCTGCTTCAAATTGGCATGCCTCAATGTGCGCACATGGCTACAGATCGGTCAACAGGCAGCACTTACCCGAACATTAGAGACACTCTCGATCGATATCTGCTGCTTATCGGAGACCCGCCTGCACGACTCGAGCGCTGTGCTCACTTTACCATCCCCTTCAAGTGACACCTGCAGCACTTTCTCCTTGCTCCTATCCGATGACCATGCAGCTTCGAGCACCGGCCAATTTGGTATTGGCATCGCCCTGAGTCCACGGGCTGAAGCTGCTCTGGTTGATTGGATTCCAATCATAGCCGGATGTGTGCGGTCCGATTGGCTGGCTTGTTCAAAGCGCGGGACTAACAGGTATCTGTTCGTCATCGCTGTCCATGCGCCCACACTCTAGCAATAATTCGGGAAAACGCGACTTCTATCGTCAGCTGAGCGAGCTTCTACGCCACACTAGAAGCTCGGACACTGTAGTGCTTGCTGGGGATCTGAACGCTCAAGTTGGAAAATTATCCACTGTTGAGCTGCATCTGGGCGATCTACACTTTGTAGGCTCCCGTAGTGATAACAGTGAGCGGTTCCTTCATTTGTGTGAAGATGCTCGCTTATTTCTTACGAACATTAATTTCCGACACAGCACCCGCCGGAGGGTGATTTGGCGCCCACCAGCATCGAACCAGCTATGGACGCAAATCGATCACATTGCTGTCAGTTACCGCTGGAGAGGGTGCGTCCAGAACTGTCGCTCGATTTGGAACTCATGTCTGGACACAGACCATGCACTTGTATGTGCTGACATGCGAATGCGTCTTGGCGTACGCCCAAGACGGCGCTGTGAGCGCATTGACATCAGCCAACTGGCAAAATCGGCTGTTCTGAATGCCTATCAAAGTACGCTGAGGTGTGGTTTGAGTAAGCGCTAACTGGATGCAATTGAAGCTCACTGGTCTCATGTTTACCATACCTTACTAGTGGTAGAAAAATCCTCATGTGCTAAGTCTAATCACCAGCATGGACATTGGGTCTCTTCGCAGTTTCTGGGACTTATGAATGCTCGCCGGCATATTCCGGCTGGGAGTGAACACAATAAAACTCGCAAAGAGCTCCGGGCAAAACTCCGTGCTAGCCTGAAGAGAGACCGCGAATCTAGGTGATCTCATCGTGCGTCAGTGGAGTAAATAGCCACTGCCCTTGGCAACCATCGTGAGTTATTCCTTCTGATACGGGAAACGGGCAGCAGGAGACCTGGTGTTAGTGAAACTATACATGACGAGAGTGGACAGCCTGTCCACAACTTGTCAAAACCATTAGAGCGTTGGGCTGAGCACTTTGAAAGGCAATTTAATCGGTCGGAATTATCAGATTTCTCGCCGGCCAGTGATCGCCCTGTTCCGTGCGCTGTCCATTAGGATCCACCCTCTCGTTCAGGAGTCGAACGTGAGATCGGACTGCTGAGGTTACAGCCACGGGACTAGATGATCTTCCTCCAGCCCTCTTGCTTATGATTTACACGAATTACTAGTGAAACTGTGGGAGCAGGAAACTGTTCCTACCGACTGGAGCCGCTGCGACATAGTCCTAATTTTCAGGGAAGGCTCACGATCGGAATGCGGAAATGCCTCCAAATTACTCCTCTCTGTCATCCTTTACAGGCTGACTGGCGCTCGTGAAAGCCAGATTCATGAGGAGCAAGCCGGGTTTCGTTGAGGTCGAGGCTGCATTGATCACATCTTCACTTTGCGTCCGTTATTTTAGCTTCGTCACATATATTGGCGGCCCACCATTGTCGTGTTCCTCGATATCAAGATGCATTCGATTCGGTGGATAGACGTGCACTTTGGGACTGTCTAGTCAGGAAGTGTGTGCCCGTGAAATATTTAAATATTATACGCGCGTAGCTCCGGCAGACTAAGGGCTTACGGCTAGCTATCGTCGCCGTCTAATATCTCCAGCGGTGTAAGGCAAGGATGCCCACTGTCACCTTTCCTCTTCAACTTCGTTGTTGACGAAGTCATGAAAATCGCGTTCACCGCACACGACTTAGAAGCTGTGGTTCTGCTCTCAGGCGAACGACTTCTGGACTTGGAGTAAGTTTCCGTTAGCTGTGACAGCACACAAAAGTGCCAAGCGGCTCTGGACAGACTAGCACTGGCTGTCAGTCATTTCGAGCTTTGCTTCCCACCTTCGAGGTGCAAAGCGTTCCTTCTAGATAGGCCTGGACCGCTTTCTTCGCCGACCCTTGGTGGGGATCAGCTAGAAGTCGTTGAAAAAATCAACCACCATGGGATTGAAGATGAGCTCCCAAACCGTATGGCAAAAATACGAGGCGCTTTTGCTAACATTCGCAACTTATGGCGGCGGCGCGAGATTACTGTCGCCCTGAAGAGTAGAGTGCACAATGCAGCGGTACGTTCGACCCTACTGAACATTTGTGAAGCCTGGCCCCTTACATCAGCGTACCTAAAAAGTCAAGTTACCTTCGACCACCGGTGCCTTCGCAATTTGGCTCGCATCTGGTAAGAAACCGAGTGAGCTACGACCGTGTTCGACGCCCTATTTACGGCACAAGAAAAGGAGGTGAACTGCTCAGCACCGTTATTTCACGCACCAGGCTCCGATGGCTGGGCTATGTGTTAAGCATGCCATCCCACCGGCTCCCGCGATTTGCGTTGTTTGTGCGCCGGGGGAGTGGATGGAAGAAGAGGAAGAGTGACCAAGTGATGACTTGGTCGAAAGAAATGAAGGCCCTCACTTCGAAGCTGGCCTCGGTTAGAGCGTCTCGACTACCGGGTTTGGGTTCGATATAGGACGAACACGTTTGGCTGGATACACTTGCTAACATGGCTAGGTGCCGACCTGAATGGCCTTCGTGCTTTAAGTTTCTTTGTCCCACCTCATCCCCCTTAGTCTCCCCCTCCAACCACGATCTCATTACTTGTATAATTGCATAGTAAAAAATTTTTGCTGCGTAGTAGCCGGCTAGCAGCTTACCGGAACGATGCCCATTCGCTACCTGTAGCTCAGCTGGCTTGCATCTGTTGCATTTTTCCTTTTTCCCTTTATATATTGTGGCACAGTAGCTGAGGTGCTTCTCATCTCTAACTAACGTGTATAATGATGATGATGCTGCTGGTGATGATGATGATGATGAGTGTCTTGAACACGGTAGAATGACAGTCGTTGACGGTCCCAAGCCTGCACGACCTTCAACATTAACAATCGATAACCATGTAGAGAGAGTACGTGCTGTGGTCCGTGGGCGTCAGCGTTGGATCATGTCATCAAATTCTGGAACGTTTGAAGCATGCTATGCCCACGAAGGGCCCTGAACTGTGGAAAAACCAAACTTGGACCTCAACTCATGACAATGCGCCGGCTCATGCACTGCTCCTTGTCCGTAGCTCACTAGCAAAACATCACACTCCCGTTGTGCCCCATTCACTGTATTCTCCGGACCTAGCCCCAACAGACTTTTTCCTGTTTCCCAAACTTAAGACCACTTTGAAAGGACGTCTTTTATAAACCCTGGCGGAGACTCAGGACCATTCGACGATAGATCTGCGCGCCATCCCAGGAAGTGCGTTCCAAGAGGCTTTCCAAAAATGAAAGCACCGTTGGGAACAGTGTATTGCCAGTATGTGGACTACTTTGAGGGGGCAAGTGCTTAAAGTGTTATGCAATGAGCAATAATGAGGTTATACCAAAAGTTCGGTTTCTTTCTGAAAACCCCTCGTACGTAAATGTTTGGCTTATAATGTCCGGTAGAAAACACGAGAGTAAGAACGTAGAGGGGTGAAATATGTTCCGCAAGATATCTGCAAGGCACTGTATGTGCAGATGCACTAAGGACGTTCTCATGGCTGTTGAACTGTTCGCTGAGCTTGGCAATTTTGTTGCAAACGTTTCGTCACCAATCGAGGTGACATCATCAGTGCGTAGTGGAGTGGCGTGCAATAGCGTAGAGTAGCGTAGAGGAGCCTCGGTGAGAGTGCCAAGCTCAGCGAACAGTTCAACAGCCATCTGAACAACCTGAGCTACCAGCCTTCAATTCTATAGCCAAGGACGTTCTCCTCTGTATCTTCCCATCCTCGAATATGGCCTAGAGTAATCACTCGGTGATGAACATTGAAAAAATTGAGGTGGAAGTAGAAATGGTTGGGGAAATACGGTGGAATATAAAGCGAATACACATTTTAAATTTAGATTAACAAAATTGTTCATTTTGGGAATATACTGAAAAACCGTCTGTAAGTGCCTGAATTAGAACATAAGTAGACCGCACAAGCAAAATCACCACTCTTGTTTCCGCGGCCACTTCATCCAACATTACTATGTAGCCATTTCCCCTCTTCGTGTCTAACAGTGACTTTCATTGTTAGAATCTGTCCTCTTTTTCAGAGATACAAATATTGATCGTTGTGACTTGGACATTTACTTCGTTGGGAGCTACGATCTACTCGGGGAGGTGCACGAAGACGAACTGATCGATAATGGCCGAAATGTGAAGGTTACAGAGGATAACAAACATGAGTATATCAGGTTCGTCAACATCCATTGGAATCATTGATCTCTTTTTACAGAATTCTGTTAGGCCGCAACCAGGTTGGACCTTAATAAGCTATGACCGTTTTTGTAACTCACGGCCCGTTGAGCTTTACTGGATGGCACCCTCGGTCTGACTGAAATACTCCTGTCATATTGTTTAATGATTATAGATCAAACGAACTCAGTTTCCTGATCCTCCTGGCTAGTGTTTGGAGGTTTCATTGCACTTACTTGGGAGCAGCCGCAATTCCACTGGCCCCTTATAAGGCCATGATGTCCCTTTTCTTTTGCGGCGTTCAACGTTCGCACTTTAAGTGAAACAGGCCAACAAGCTGCACTTGCACGCACGTTAGTCACACTAGGTATTGATGTGTGATGTGTACCGAATTAGGATCAATGCTCCTCCCGGAGTTGTTAAACTAACTACACCTTACTTGTCCTCTCGTTATTGGCTGCACGCATTCGGGGACGTTGATGCGGCAACCACTGGTCACATTGGGGTGGGTATCCTTCTCATCCCCAAGGCTGAGTCATCATTGGCTGATTGGATTTCCGTGAGCAGCCGTTTGTGTGCGACCCGTTTGGCGACGTCAACTAAGGTAACTCTAGACGCTTTTTGTTTCCGGTCTCTGCTTCTCTGATGCTGCAAAGCACTCTTTCTGCCATGAGTTGAACACACTGTTTCGCAGTGTTAACATTTCAGATATCGTTGTTGTTGCAAGGGATATGAATACGCAAGTAGTCGTCTGAGCTCTTCAGACCACCGATACACCCAAGTAGATCACGTTGCCACAAGCTACAAGTGGCTTGTCTCCATCCTAGATTGTTACTCGTTATGGAGTACTTGCGTCGACTCTGATAATCATACTATGACCGTTAATCGCTGTCATTCTCACTTACTACACTTTCGTTTCTCGACAGTTCATTTCATTACACCTTGTGCACGTTCTGGTGCGTAGCATATTTTTTTGCGCTGGCAGCAAGATTCTGATGCGATCGTTGCTCACTCCTGAACTGCTGCTACATTTTACTTTATATTTAGCGAAGTTGGGATTGTTGCCCATATTCTCCCCACTACCCTTCATCCCCATCGTGTATACTGTGGTTATTACTTTCCAGTCGATGAACTATACGCCGTTTAAATTACCGGTTTATATTGTCACTATTGGTTTGTCTTGTTTATCGGCTGTTGCTTCTTTTCACCAAATGTGTGCATCCCACGCTGCCATTTTCTTATAGCCAGTCTTTAGTCGGAAGGATTGTGCGCTTGCGTTGGTAATCCGGATAGAACCAGTTCGAATCCGTGTAGATGCGAGCGACCTCGCGCGACTGCTGGTAATTCCACGGCAGAGAAGTGTCGTTACAATGCGGTGGCGTACTGCTGACGAATTTCTTTTTCTGATCATTTTTTGACGTTTTACGCGGACCTCTCCTTTTGTTCCAGATTAATGGTCGACTGGCGCTTCACGAGGGGTGTAGCCAAACAAACCGAAGCGCTCCACAAAGGTATACACGATGTTCTGGAACCGCAGTGGCTTCAATTGTTCGACGAGCGTGAGCTGGAGGTGCGAGACGACCTTTGTTTTTATCATATTCCATTGAGATCCACTTATCCTGATCGCCATTTATATCCATTTGTAACCCTCAGCTTTTTCCATTTGTTTGGACGGTTATCCGCCCTTTGTCCTTAATCCGCACAAAGGTTGAAATTGCCGTATACTACTTATCGGATTACCCATCACATTTTTAGTGGAACAGTTTTGTAACTGGTGTAACGTTTGGAATAAATACTGTGCACGCTTAATTCAAGTATCCTTTTAAGTGAGAGTTTGCTGGCCGAACACATGGAGCCCTCACGTATACTCGCTCCCAAAATTGCATGTAACACGTGGTAGTTGTGGACTAATTAGCAGGAAGCCGGTCTGTGGTTTTGGGGCTATCGAGCATGAATCTCAGGGAGGTTTGATAAGCAACTAGAAAATAAATAAGCAAATGAATAACATAATAAAAATGAAATAAAAAATACAATTATGATGATATCTCTCAGGCTGTGTGTCTTTCCAGATGCAGTTGCATCCGACCCCAAGTACTTTAGATTTTCCAGTCGGTCATTCGACAGAACATCGTCACTAAAAGAGGTCGGGGCTGATTTGAGGAAGAAAGGGAATACAATTGTAGTCTGGTAGTTCAGGTTGTTCAGATGGCGGTTGAACTGTTCACTGAGCTTGACAATTTTGTTGCAAACGTTTCCTTATCAATCGAGGTGACGTCATCAGTGCATAGTTGCGTGTCGTGCAGTACCGTGAAGGAGCATCGGCGAGATTTTGGTGTTCGTACGTTTTATATCGTGGTTGCCCGTGGAGACGAGCAATTCTGTTGGTTGCGACTTCGATCCGCGTTCAGCTTGTTTGGTGGACAGATGACCTTTGAAATGGACCCCACCGAGTTGTGTTTCGTGACCGTTGTCTGTTTGCTCTTGTGGGCGTGTCTGTCGTCAGGTTTGGTTGTCTGGTCCCACGTTCCGCCGGATTCAATCTATTGAGTTGTCGATCGTTCGCCAGCAGTGTTGCGCATACTGCGTTCAGTTCGATGTGTCGATCGATTGAATTCGTTGTATACTACCACGCCTCCAAAAACTCCCTCACGTGTTTTTAACTTCCATGCACTAGGATCCTTACATTATCCAGATCGAAATGGCGGCGCAGAAACCAGCAAGTGCGGATCATGCCTTCTGACGGCCGCCTTGTGTTTGGTGCTTCGTGTACAAATCTTTCTTCCAGTTTGTTCGACGTAACTTTTATCACAGTCGCTGCATTTTATCTCGTGGATGACATTACATTGATCGACCCAAAGTACAGTTGTTGCTACGGAAGCTGGGCGCAAGTAAACACAACCAGAGTGTAATTTCATTCTACCGAAACATTCCCGCGACCGCAATTTCCAGGAGACTGTAGATATTCTCACTTCCATTTGGTGAAAGGTCTTCAATTTTCAACATCCGTTATCAGTGTTTGAAGCTTGTTAAGAATCAATTCGAGGATTATATTTCATACGCGGGCGAAGTGAACCATTCATGTGAACGTTTAAGACTCATTTTAGTCTCTGGCTTGACCACTGCAGCTGGCGCAGAAATCAGAACACGTCTGTTATCCAAACTAGATTTATCTCCAAATTTCACCATTCAGGACGTCACCGCAGTGTCAGCGTCTAGTAGCTTAAAAAGTGACTCACAGATGTTGCAGTCGAGACAACTGATGTCACAGATCTCGATTTCTACCCGAACACGAGAGAAGTCTGTAACACCGCATGACAGAAACCATCACGTGTTTGTTGGAATTGTGGTGAGTGGCGTTTTTCCAGGACCTGTCTGTTCATCAATCACCAGTGCACCGTCGGCCACAAGGATATATATATATATACATATATATATATATATATATATATATATATATATATATATATATTGCAACAGTCTATGAATAGACATAGAGCCATCAGAAACCATGGAGCACAAAAGAAGGTACAGAAGTTGTAAAAGAAAACACAACACATTAAAGTCCATGGTTTCTTCAGAAGGTGAGATACTACCCAGTTGCCCAAACCAGAGCCTTTGGCTGAATAGCCTGCCCGCAAGGCAGCGGAGCGAATTCAGGGAATCGCGCCCATTGGGAGCCGGTGACTGATTGCTCAGTTCATACGCCTTTCGTTTGTTCTTTTGTCAAATAGGGGCACAATGCTCCCCAAAATTACAACATAAATTTGCTGGAATACAATGCTTCGCCAGGATGAAGCAAGGGGTAGTGACTTTATTTAGTGGCGAGTCACGTCCACCACGTCACAGTGTTGTGAAACAGACGTTTGTGGCTTTTTATAGGGGGAACGCTTGCCAGGCGAAAACCCACCACGTTCTGGAACACTGCCGCCGAACCATTTGCTGGAACGGAAAGATCCCGAACCACCCAGCTGGCACCACGAGGAGGTTGTTCGGCAAACCAGCCACAAGAAAGGTCATAAAGAAAGGCACTGCCAATCAACCGCACGACGTCCTCATCCTTGGGATCAATCCAAACCGTTTCAACAACGCGCAGGGAAATGCGATTCTATTGTGGTTTATGCAACTGCACAGGAAAGTTTCCTTTCACTTCGCAAGTTTATCACTGTCACTATTAATGGTCACTCAGTGCGTCTACAGCTGGATATCGCATCTAACATTGCCACTATCTCCAGCCCGGACTATCGGTAGGCCGATATTGTGCGATGCGGAAAATACCGCAAGGAGTGCATCGAACAGTATCCTACAGCTGTATGACAAATTTCCTTGTAAATATGTTTACATAAATGTTAAGGGAACCGGCACCTGTCACCTTTCTAACGACTCGGGATTAAACATACTTGGTATTGATTGGATAACTGCGTTGAATCTGTGGAGCTTTCCTCTTGACTCTGTGTGCTATCAAAACGAGGAAAGTCAATCCAGTCTGGACATCTCATCGTAGTGCTACGCAGCGCAGAATTCTACTACGTTCGTTGGCGATTTGGAGAAGCAATTCCCGGAGGTGTACAACCCCACACTTGGCTGTTGCACCAAATTCACGGCATCTCTGTAGCTAAAAGATGACGCAAAGCCTGTTTTTCGACCCAAAAGACCGGTGCGTATGCATCTCTTAAGTTAGTTGACAATGAATTGGATCGCCTGGAGCAATGGGGGCTGATTTCTAAAGTGGAATACTCAGACTGGAAAGCACCCATAATGATAGTGAAAAAGGTAAACGGAACCATTCGCCTATGTGGAGAGTATACTGGACGCAGCCCTGAATCTCCATCAACACCCGCTGCCATTACCGGAGGATCTTTTCGCCAAGCTCAACGGCAATCGCATTTTCTCCAAGGTTGATCTCTCGGATGCCTATCTTTACCTGGTAGCCGATGATGACGCACGACGCCTTCCTGTGGTTCACACTCACTATGGTCTGTATCAGTACAATCGGCTACTGTTCGGAGTGAACGCTGCCCCGGGACTCTTTCAACAACTGTTGGACACTACGCTAACGGACATGCCATCGGTTTGTGCACACTTGGATGATATTGCCCATCAACAGACAAGACCCAGCATAGCTGCCACCACTTGCAGGTATTCGCAGGCCTACGGGAATATGGTTTGACTCTAAGAGCTGCTAAATGTTATTTGTTTATCCCTCAACTGAAATACCTTTTTATTGTCGATCGTGACGGGCGAAGACATGATATTGAAAAAAATGCGCGTCATCCAGGAATTACCTGCACGACACGATATACTTTGCTCTGCAATCCGTCCTGTGCATGGTAAGTTATTACAGTGCATTTGTTTCTGATATGTATCGACTTTGAGGATTAATGAATGAGTTGCTGGGTCAAAGTTGACCCTGCGTTTAGTCGTCCAAATATGAGGAAGCGTTTAGGCTCATTATGTGAACGTATGTATACCTTATGAACACAACCACGACATAGGCCCCAGTACCAAAACTACAACAGTTATTTGCACAGTTCGGTTCACCAAACACCTTAGTTTCCGATAACGGTTCGCAATCTATCGCCGACGATTTTGGTGTTTTCTGTCAGCATAATGGTATCAAGCACTGCCGGTCGCATCCGGGGCATCTCCAGTCCAACTGGCAAGCAGAAAGATTCGTTGATACCTACAAACGTTCACTTCTAAAACTGTGGGGGAAGGACCGACAGATGGGCTACGTCTAACCCAGCTGTACCAGGAGGAAGCCATGTTCGGGCGTGCGATACGCCTTCCAATTGATGCAATACTCCATAAAGTTACGCAACGGCCACTCGCGTCAGACGTGAACAGAAGCTTTCTACCAGGGGATTTCTGGTATACGCGTTAGATACAAAGCCGCACCACCAAATCTGGCAGCCTGCAATGGTACGAAAATGAAAAGACACAGTCCTACGAGGTGCCTAGCGGACCGTTGTCTCTCTTTAATCAGTTATGCAAACGACGGACCGAACACACAGGCACTTCTGCTTTCGACTTGCCGTTCGATATACCGCTGGACAGAATTGAACTACCAAAAACTTGCGCTTAGTGGGCCGACAAAAACGTGCACAGAGTCATGCCATGGAATCACACAGAGACCTATGCGGACAAGTAATCCGATCCGACGTTTGCAAGTGAACCCAGCACTTCGTATGAGCCTGGAGAACGTGTTTTCAAAGGGGATGTTATACCAGACGAACCGGTTCAATGTCGTCCCACACACCTGACCGCTCACTTTATATGCATCAAGCTACCGCCTGACACAATCTCTCACCTTAAGCTATATTGTTGGTTGTCCTGCCTGTTTCATGTGACTTGAACTCTGGTTACTACACTATCCGGTGCTTTGAAAGGAAGTCTTTGTTCTGACGGCTTTAAGCCCCATTTAGCGCGGTTATAACACTAAGCGTCGATACGAAATATTGGAGCAATATTGATACCTAAACTTTTTAATGTCATTCGTCGCCCGCTTGTCTTCGCTCACCTCTCTCATAACGGTGTCCTTTCTGACAATATGTTTCGGCGGCTCTTGCCTCCAGTATTCGTTTCCGTGGCTGACGCATCCTTCCCTTGTGTTTTACCACCAGCTACTGCTTTCTGGAATGCCCGAAATCGATGTGGCCGATTGGGAGAAAAACACAACCTACTTGAAGTACACGCGCTCCAGTAAACAGATAACTTGGTTTTGGAAAGTGAGTGTCTTCGTTTTCGGTCGCTGCCATTGATTACCACATTTGTCTTTCTTTTTGGACAGCATTATCATTTACTCGGTCCGTTCACACTGTTTGTTTATTCGTTATTTGCGTTGTGATCAACTTCTCTCTCGTACGATTGATTTTGCTCTTGTGAATTGATCGAGTTTGGACCATTACACATCGTTAGTCGGTCAAGATTTCGATCATGAAATTGTCCTGCAATATGATATTATTCTCCGTTATGGCTCGTGCCTTTAAAAATGTCAACCCCGTCTGCTCCCAAGGCACTTGGCTTATTGTCTGACTCACCCGTCTCGGCGAACCGCTTGATGATGCTACTGATTCATACCTGCGCGTATCTAGGCACGCCTGTTGACTCTCTTTCAGCTTCTCCGCAGTCGACGAAATCAACTCCCTCCCGGATACTTGTTTCCTTTTGACCTCAGCAGTCGTGCTGTTACTGCCTTGACCCACCATCTGCTCTCTCTCTCTCTCTCTCTTGTCCACTGCATTGCACCCTATTTTGAAGGCTATGTATTCCGTTCATTCAACTTTCCCCTGAACATATATGTTGATGCATTCTAGTTCAGTTCACTCGCTATTGTCAGAACACAAGAGTTCCTCGACCCATCCCATGATGATGTTTGCACTTCTTATGGAGCTGATGTAGTCGGTTATCGAGGTAAGAGAAAATTGATGTGGTTGGATTGCGGCTATGTTAGTACCCTAGAATGCGACAGCCGACTGTTGTTGTCAACTTGCCGAACTCAAATACACCGGTTTGCTCCTTCTCTTTTACGGTCCATCACATATATACACACTTGCAATTCCCATTTAGCGCCGGCTCAAAATCCACATTATTTCCCATCTCGGAATATTCGTCTGAGGCTGAAGCTCGCACATTGCGAACGGCCTCATCAGAGTATCCGTTTATCACTATTCCACCGAGCTGTTCTACATATAATGGAATGGATCTCTGCTAATGCTCACTCATCTTTGATCACTTCGGTTTCAGGACTAGTGCGGAGCTCGCTTAGCTCTCCTCAGCATTGGTGTCACCACACGACAACTCAAAATGCGCAGTATTCAGATGAATCTTCCTCATTTAAATCGTTGTTGTATGTCAACGCCAACTGCGCAGACTCCACCTAAACTCTCCATGATGATGCTGCTGCTGTACCTACCGTCCCAAACCACGATAACGTCAACTGGTTTTTTCCCCAGGTCATTATTGCTAAGTGGCAATTTACTTACCACACTAACATACATCTTCCGCTATAGTTTATGTATTACGGTGTTATGTTATTGAGTTATAAATACTAAGATAAACGAACTCTTGCTATCGGTCAATCCTTCTTTTGATGGCTTTGAGATTATACCTACGGACTTACGCGTTTCGTCTCCAGTCATAGCTCGCATGTACGTGCGTCTGGCGGCCGTGCCAATTCGAATTCAGCTGGTTACTATGTGCTTGGGCTACTATCCACGAGAAGCGTTTCTTCCGCTCTGACTAGGAGAGCTGAACATACTAGGACGTTTATGACAGTGACTAACGCAACCCCCACTTACTCGCTTATCCACACTCGTTCATACTTTAAGTGGGGCTTGTTAATCAAATATGCGTTGCTGCTTTTCGTGTTAGTCCGCTCCACGCTTTTCACATTGATGAACTCACGTTCTTCGAATGTCTCACAATTTCCTCCTGAGTTCGTCCGGTATTGGTGGCCCCAATCTTCAGCTCCATGCATTGAATCCGTTTGTATTATGGGGCCCTTGACTTTACTCCGACCCTAAAACGGGGAAGTTCCGAGCTAAGAGCAGCAAAGCCACAAAAATTTTCCATCACACTTCAAAGCTGGAACCATTCCTTTTTCTCTCGTGGGTCAGGTTGTTGGGTAAAATGACCAAGGCGTAATCCATCATGCAAGCGTCGTTGGCGGAACGCCAGTCAATTTAGAGGTGGGTGTTTTAGGACAATACTCTTCTCAGGATGGATAGCCGAGGGTATTATCTACACACAAACATCGTTATCAGTGTTTTGCGCCAGACGTTGTCACCCATTTTTATTATCGCATCAACTAGCAAGAGATTCCTAACGGACCAACCGCACCGACAAGGCATCCTTGTCATCGTTCTAACCCAAAGCACCATTCTACATCACATCTTTCAGTATTCGCACACTAGCAGATCAGTCAACAGGTAACGCCAACTGTGTGAAGAGGAAGAAAGCATAAACAGTACACCGGTACTCCCCACTGATGTTTTGCTGTCGCATGCGGGCTAGGTCTACCGCGTGGTGGTCACTCAGTCACGTACTCTGGATCGGACTTGTGGCCCTTATATTACACCTGGGCCACTCTACCACCAGTCGGCTGACACTCGCTATGACTGCGTCGTAACCATCTGCGCTTATCAGACCCGAGATCTAACAGTGAGAGTTACATACTTCGTGTCCTTGCTGATGTCGAATCCATCGTTTACGATCTTTACGGCGTCGGAACCGTCCCCAACATACATGGGGAGGCTTTTTTTCTGGAAATAGATTCCAGTGGTTTGCCACATTCAACTTCGAAGCCACGTCGGAGACAACAAACATCGACCGAAATTAGAGTGCTACTGACTGCGGCCCGAGCCGGTTGGGGATGAATTTTATGGGCACCACCCTCTTCTACTGGTCATAGTTGCAGGTCACACGGTCATTGCTAGGGATGTGAATTCTCGGGTCGGTCGTTTGACTGAGACTGACTATCGGCTCGCAGTCCGTTTTCGTGTTGATGCTTTTCGGGCTAACATTGTGAACAGCGTACTTCACATGTGGGCGCTGGTCACAGCTGTGTCATCGGTGTAATTTCTGCACACAAGCGATCACATTGAGCAATTGACATTCTCACTCAAATTGGACACATTGCCGTCAGCTGTAGATGGCGCGCATCTGTGTAAGACCACTTGCTTCTTCGCCAGCCTTGCACCACAGACGTATTTAGGCCGGTATGCGCTACCTTTTGTATATGGAAAGCTTTGAGTTGTTGAACTCACTGGTTTAGGATCCTGTCTGACATAGCACAGCAGTGGACTTAGTGGCATTTGTGCTCTTGTATCTAACTGCTACCATTCCGATCCGATTAACTGTCTGTCACTTTTTTTGTAATCCTCCTCTGCATGTATTTTGTTTACGTGATAACTCATTTTTCGACGGATGTCACTGGCTGTTATTCCCGCTACGCCAGTCGTGACAGCTGCTTGTCACCGTATTTTAAAACTCGAATCATTGTTGCTGACTAAACAACCAAGTGCTGAACTGCAAAGGTGTTTGCTCCTCAACCCTGTTCGTAATCCACGAAGCAGTAACTTGATCCAGAGTTTCAGTGACAGTTGTTCACTGATGAACATAGTGGACGTACTACGCTTGAACTGGAATCGCTTGCCGTGAGCCCATTTATAGATTGTTACGGATCTTGTATGCTACTCGCTTGAAGGGTCCAAATTGTGCATGGCTGTTTGTAGCTATCACAACATTACCTAAATCACTCGAGATGGTTCTGTCGGCATGTCAGTTTCAAGGTATCTGGTACACTAAAACTGCGTTTGGCTGTACTGACTACGGCTGTCCTCGGAAGCAAGGGACTAGGGGACGAAAAAGGCCAGCACGCACCACTGTGATATATACTGGTTTTCTAAGGAAACACTTCAAAATCCTATGTAGGTCACTGACGCAATTATCTCAGTGTAGTGAGATTCCCAAGCCGACCTTTGTTGTGATTCAATGCATGACTAAGGCTTGCTTCGAGAATACTTACTGACATAAGTCACCCTCTTCATGCCGCACTATTTGAGTGTGTATCGATATCCTCAACCAGACAAAAGAATAGATCCATTTTTGCCCGCACAAGAGCTTGCCACACATCCGTTATGTCTGGCACGTTTGTTGTGCGATCAGACATCAATTGTCTTGGAGCTTAAAAACAACTTTGCATCGTAACCATACTGCGGTTTATGCCACTTATCCGTCTACTTGTGTAGTTACTGCTTTATTTTTTACTACGTGGAAAGCCTTGCCTGTAACAGCTGAATATTTACCCTTGTGGATGCATAAAGCGCTTGAATTGAATTGAAATCACCAGAGCGCTGTTCCAATCTTTTAACACATGGTTCTAAGGAAGACCTTATCCTCATTGCACCCATTTCAACTATTGTGCCGTAATACTTAAAGATAAGGTACCCTAAAAACGAGTTACTAAATATTATGGGATGCAAAAACGAGCAACACAGCCTTAGTAACGTATCATAATTCGAGAGAGAGATCGTGTTTGTAAAGTGAAGGTAGGCGGGATGGAGAGGGGCAACGAAGCTCACAACACAAGTGCTATTTCGAGATCGGTTCATTGTCATGCCAACTAGTGTATTCAACAAGACGTGTTCATCGTACTTCGGACCCCAGCCCGCAGTCCAGGAAATACTTTCACGCTCGTTCGAATGCTTGGTCCATCGCTTAAGATAACAACTCAGTATTCCTTAGGCGGCATCAAAATTATTAGTCTGGTTACCTGACCCGACCGAGGCGTAACTGTCCGCACCATCTGTGAGAACTGACACAAACTGGTACTGTTGACGCTAAACAAGGTAACTGGCCTAGACGACCTTCCCGTGTTTGCTGCATGACTGTGGCGACTCACTTTTCGACTGGCCTTTATCAGTCGTCGTTCCCATATTTTAAAAAGTGCCGAAGAATTTCTTGCGAATATCCTCTTGGTATCAGCTTACTCTCAATTACCATTCTACATCATGCCGCGTTAGCTTACTGATCTTTTGGAGAATGAGTCAGTGAAATTCAGACTATCCACCTTCCCAGTAAAACTCATCATAGACACCTTTATCTCCCCCCTTTTGGATCTGATTGTATGTTATTTGATCACGCCTGTCGACTGCTGTCTATCATTGTGGAGTGTGATTGAGTAGTTTGTTTGTATTCTGTGATTTGTATACTATGAATTCCCGGGGCTATGCATATTCCGATGGGACGCTGTCCCGTGGTGATTACATGAATCAACACTACTTCACCCATCACACTTCGGCGCACGGATTATTCTCAAGTAACCGATATGTCCCATTATGGAGCAAAAATTCTTTCTTCGTTTTTCGGGTTACTCAGTCTCGCACTTTCTCCGAGATGCTTTTAACCATATAGATGTGTCCTTTTGTCGATCCTTCGATTGCACATTCTAACTCATGTGGCGACATGTTTCCAACTGCACACTTTTGCTGGGGTTCTTCTTCCATTATGTTAAATACTACCTTATTGTATTTGCTTGTAGTGTGTAC